TTGATTGATATTGAAAAGTTTATCCATCATATGTTGAGCTGCTTTCAGAAGATCGAACAGAAGAACCTAAAATACCATTTTTATCTGTGAATTTTCAAGTGTTGTGGTTTGTGTTGATAACGATTCTTAATTATAATTTCGATCACAAACACATCATTTATTAACAATTCCCCCTCTTTGTAGATTACTGTCTTACTTGTAGTTTATGCTGAAAAGGGTCGCTTAGAAATTGACAGCAGAAGTTGTGACACTTGCGTAAACAAGAAATTTAGTTAAATATTTGCACAGTTTGCTTAAAAGTTGACTCTCGTTATCGTTCCTGCAACACTTGTTAAGCACACACACACTCAGGCAATTATTTGCATTATGCTTAGCAACAAGTCACAAAACAAACTTTAGAAGCAAATAAAAAATATGTTTTTCTGTATACTTGTACGTTGTCTCAAGGCCATGCGTTCTAATGCCTTGTTATACTTGAAATATGAACTACTTAGAGTTTTGCGAAATAAATATCTAAAGTTTTGAACTTGTGCTTATTGGCAATTTGTTATCGATATGGCCGCCTGAAATCTGAGCCTGCGGCGCGTCAATGTCAACAAACGCAATAACATTTGTTTATTTGCTGTTTATGGCTCGACTTTGGCGGCGAATGATTTGGCAATAAGCCAGACAATGGAGCTCAGGTAACGAGCAAAGTTGAGCTATCATTTCATATTTAGATATACTAGATATACATACGAGTATGTATAAACAGAAACTTATGTATATGTTTGGCAGTTTGCTTCAGTGCCTGGCTAAGCTTTATTTACTGCCAAATCTGTGGGCTCAATCTCAATATAAACTAAAGCGAAAACAAATCAAATGAGCAAAATGCAAATCCAAGCAGAAAAGTAAGAAACACAGGGAAAGGCGACCCGAAAATCAATTTTTATTTTAACACTTCAACGCACAGGAAATGCAAAGGACAACCCTTAAACAATAGCGCGCCCTGAAGTAGGCAACAGTCAGCAGCAGCCGCCATTACAATGGCACAGTAGTTCAGTGTGAGTTAAATGTCGATGTCAGAAACGTATATATATCGCCAAGTCTCAAGTCTCAAAGACGATATTTATTTGTAAATCTATTAATTTAGGCTGAAACTTAAAGTCTCGGTTCTAAGAATTACTTGATATTAATAAATTAAAAAAAAATATATATATAGCTGTGGTAAAATAATTTCCCCTATCAGACAAAAATGTCCTTTTTTTATTGTTAGTCATTGAAAAGATAAAATCGAGCTTTTCTTTCTTATCTGCAAAATAGAAGCGGTAACTAAAAAGGCACCTTTTATTATTCGTATCATTTCAGGGAAACATATTTCCTCCAAAACTGCAGTACTTATGATTTTTTTAGAAATACTTTAAATTAATGAAACATACAAAAATTTATACAGTTGTGGTGAAAAAAATGGCTTTTGTTATAAAAAATGTCTCTTTTTAAACGTTAATCATTAAAAAGAGAAAAAATTAAAAAAAAAAGATAGATGCGCTAAGTAAAAAAGCACTTCTTATTATTCGTGCGATCCATTTCAGGGAAAACCCTATTCCTTTCCGATATTGTAGTATTTATGATTTTTTGTTTGTGCAAACAAAAACTCGAGAAGTAACATCAAAGCACTTATCAGTAAGCTTTCTGCTCAAATTCTAGTATGCTGGACCAGTGTGCCAAGCCTAGCAGATGTATCTAAAACTAATTTAAATAAAAACCAATCTCGCTGAAAATGACAGCGAACAGACACACATACACACATATAATTTGCGCCTCTCTTATCATTTTATGTGTTTTGACGGGCGCGACTGAAACCCAAAGGCCTGGAACGCCCAAAATCCAGAACCAGAATCCAGAACCCAACAGAACTTAGAATCCCGAAGCCCATGAACAGCAGCACAAAACTTTGTCTATGGCACAAATTTTTTTTATGTGCGCGTCATGGCTTGATTGTAACTATGTATGTATTGGTGTGTGTGTGTGTGTGTGTGTGCGTTTGGGTGCGACATACACCAACGCAAATCAAATTGCTACAAAACTTTCAACTGCACAACAATTTTCATTTTTATGACCTACCCCGTCAGCCTCAGTCGCAGTCACTCGTTCGCTATCTCAGCCATCCGTGCGCTGCCCCTATTCCTCTCCCCCCCCCCCCCCCCCCGCGCTTACAACCCCCTTTCTTGCCGACACGTTTCACTTTCGTTGGATGGGCGCTGAACTTGAACGGTCGGCGGCAAACTTGAGAACATGGCTGCGCATGCTGATTATCTTTGTAGCATTCAAGCTAAGGCTAATGCAAGAAACGAAAACAAAACAGAACAGGCGCAAACATAAAAACAACGCATAAGGAAGAAGAAGCGGTAGAATGTAAGTGGCAACGAAGAAAAAATGTTAAGGGCACCAGAGGAGAGCGGCGGCAGAGAACTTGAAGCGGCATTTGCGATAAGCAGCAATTTTTGTGACATTTAAACAAAGGCCGGAAAAGTAAAAGAAAGCCAAAGCCAGCAATGAAACTGAAAGTGGGTGCTGCCTGCTTTTAGGCGCGCCGGACAACAACAACAAGCGCACAACCAAGTAAGTGTCTGTTGCTATTCTTTTTAACGGCTAAGACGCGACCCACCCACAACCACTACTAATAATAAAATGTAAGCCAGATACGTTTCTTTTTAGGTCGCCGAATTATGAGCAGACCCAGGCCAGGCAAGGCTAGGCAAGGCATTCAAGCCGAATGTATAAAAATTACAATAAAAGACCACAGCAATACAAATAAAAAGATGTCCAGACCACAAAAGCAGTATTTATATCGCCACCATCGCACAGATTAGCCAAATATGTTGACCAAATGGGCGCCACATTTAATGCCGCCTACATTCCTGGAATGTTTCGGCATTTCTATCTGCCATTTCGGCTGAATGGAAATTAATTAGCTGCCGCCTAAGACTACGAGATTGAATGGGAAAGTGGAATGAAGGATGCCCATACATTATGCGCTGACATTAATAGCTGCCGGGCCGAGGAAACAGATTAAATTGATTGTGAACCAGGGCTGTGATGAAGCTGTCGATGCTTCGGGCTTGATTGTGACAGAATGCGAGTTGTTGATTCGATACGAACGAGAGGATTTAATGTGCCACTGTGTGAAGATTAAGAATCATCATCACTTTTTGGCCATGCTGGCATTTAAAATGGATTAGAAGCTCAAATGCTATGATGTGAGGCCGGAGTAAATGGAATGAAGACAAAGATAATTTGGTTTAACAAATGTTTGTGTTAGAATTTATAAATCATGATGAACCAATATTTGAATCGATTCGAATTAAGATATTGGATAAGGTATAACGATAAAAAAAGAGGATTTATAATAAAGAAGTAGTAGTAGATTGAGATAAAAAATGATGTAGAAACATCTATATACGAGTATATGGAAGAAACTTGCGTCTTTACAATGTAGATGAAGTCTGTCTAAAGAAAATCTTGTGAAAATATCTACATACATACATATGTATGTATTTGTATTTGTATTTTTCTATAAGTTTAATTTAAGTTGTTGTAAATAATAACAGTATAATTAAAGTTTTACATTTATAAAAAACAATTTAGAAACAGCCTTGCGTCTTTAACACTAACAGAGTCTTAATTTGGGGTTGATTTGTTTCTAAAAATAATTTGCCTATCTTGGTATTTAAATTTGTTATATCAAAGTTATTTAATTAGTAAGCTTAGTGACAAGCTTGTTTCATATGGATAAGTCTAATTTACAAAGTGGAAAGTGCGAGCAGTTGGACGAACAGACAGATCTGTCTATATAGGAACCATACATGTATGTATGTACCTATAACATGTAGCCGGCCACGCCTGACGTTCAGACATTCTAGTATAACATGAACCCCTTTATAAACTGTGTATAAAAAGCCGAATGAATATTAAAAACTTCAAATCGATTTCTCTTTAGTGGACTGAAATTCAATAATAATTAAATAAATGCCTCTTAGGCGTCACATCAAAACTCTAGTTGCTTAACAACCTATCTTGTACAAAATAAATTTTATTTAAATATCAACATAGTACATGTTTTCTATTTGAATTTTCCACCAAAATACAAGTGATGTTATTATATTTTATTTGGCAATTTAAAAGCTGAAATTAATTGGACAAATAAAGCATTTTTTCTTTCCTCACTTCAATTTAAAACATATGTATGTTTGCAGTTTACAAAAAAATGAAACCCCTACATAATCTGGCAAAGTTTAAACCACTTTCTGTCGTTATAAAGAGCTTCTGTTTTTTATTGAGTTGCACGGCCCTAAGCCTGCCTCCCATACAGCTGTTATCAGCCGCACCCAAAAAATCAAACCCCATACGCACATAAAGCAGTCAAACTCCATTTGATGAAGATGCCATTCAGATGGGCGAGGTTCAATGCCGAGCACAGGCGAGTATCTACACAACAATAGCCTTACATTGAAGCCCCAACCCAAGCCCCAAAATCCAACTGCCATTCAGTTGGCCTTTTATGCGCTGATAAAACTCTTTGCAGCAATCAAAAACCGCAACATGTTAACTGTTAATGCCCCCAGACACCTATTTGAACCTTTCCAGAGGCAAAGGAAAACCATATGTGAGTGTGTGCGTGTGTGTCCATAAATGCGCCAAATATAAATTATATTTAAAAGGAAGAACAAGCAAGAAACGGACCCCACACATGATTCCTGCCTCAATAATTCAAAACAATTTCGGTTTTATTGCCAAAGTTTTATTTCATTCGGCCACAAGGCATACAGAGTCGGCCCACAAGCATATTGACCCTTTCGCACCAACTCCAGTAACCCACAACAACAACAACAACAACGATGGCAACCCTTTTAATTTGGGCGCACACATAAAACATTTTATTTGAACGGAGACGCGGGCGTGAAAGCCAACACATAAAACGGTTGGATCCCTCTGAATCGGCCAAAGCCGGACAAACTTACCGTTGATGTTTGCGTGTGTGTGTGTGTGAGTGTGTGTGTGTGCAAATATTTTGCCACTGACTCTCACTGATGAAGATAAACGGCAACGTAATCGCTGTAATCCTTTTAAGGCTAGGATCGTACACAAATTCCAGCTACACTTTTAATGAAGTCTAGCCCTTTTTTAAATGGTTTTTAATTATGCGCGCAAATACTTCAACACCTTGCGCAAGATTTAATGCAAAAATTCAATATGTAATTAATAGCAGTAGTCGGTTTAATTACACTTGATTGCTCTATGGGTTTGTGGTGCCTAACGCAATTATTAATTTTCAATTTTTTATGGCGTGTATTTCGATTCAATCAAAAGTCGCTCACAACACCCCGCCAAACAACACACGCGCGCACTTCAGATACTTCAGCATCTAATTAGTTGTCTGTTGGCCAGCCGTCGAGTTTCGAGCCACGACTTGTAAAAGACCGCAAGAGACCGCCGATAATAACAACAAACAACAAGTCGAAGAAACAACCGCAACGCACGTTCGAACAGCGCTAAATTCCAAAACAGAATAACTAACAGCTCTCGATGTCGCAGCGCACTCAACACAACCGACCAGCGACACGAGTGTGAGTCAAAGAGAGCGCGAGAGAGCTGTGCTTTGAGTGAAACGCGTATGAATGGTGCGCATGGGCGTCGACTCAAAGGGGAGCACGTTGCATGGCAATGCTTACAAGTCTACGTATTTAGACACTGTAGCAGCCAAGCGTTTCTTTTAATTTTAGGGCATATTTTTATTAAAAATATTAAATATTAGACAATATTTTTATTTCAGTTTATCTGTTATTTAAAATATTACCAATAAAATACAATATTTGGCATACTTCTAAAGAAAGCCAACTCTTGCTTGATCATTTTTAAAAAAAAACTAATAATACAGGCAATGTATTTCCCCGTCCAAAATTATTTTGAACAAAATATTGCCATCAATACAAATATTGTAATAGATAAAGTAAGATATTTTTAAAAATTATATTTGAGATATTGTGCAACTAATAATTGCTTTAAAGAAAGTGGAAACACACAGGTACGGGTTTTATTTCACACTGCTTCCCGATTTAAGGGAAATTTCGAAGCATTTTCTAATATTAAAATATGTATTATTTATTACGCTCCTTTCCCACATTTTTGAGTGAAATTTGCGATTTGTTTACATTTAAAGTTGAGTGAAATTTTGAGTTTTTTCTAACGAACTCATTGAAATACTGCTACCGATATCCCAAGTCCGTCTACAATATATTTTCGGCCACAACTAACCAATGCATATATTTATATAGATTTAAATATATAATATCTGCTAATAGATTGCTAAATAAAATAAAAATTATGTGGCCGCCCTCCTCTGCAATTCTCTTACCAAGTACCTAAGCGCTGGCAAATCGAAAATTAAATTGTGAATTTTCTGATAAATATTGTGTGTAAATATTATAAAATTAAATTGTAAAATATTTTAGTAAATTAAATTAAATAATCATATTGTGAAATTTCTAATAAATTAAATATTGTGTCCGCCCTCCTCTGCGATTCTCATGCCAAGTACCTAAGCGCTGGCAAATCGAGAATTAAATTGTGCATTTTCTGATAAATTAAATAATAATATTATTATGAAATTTCTCGTAAAATAAATTAAATTAAAATATTGAATACATGCTTAGAGGCCTTTACCAGGAATTAATTAATAAAATAATAATATTTGTTATAAGATCCGATTATAAGGCCTCATTCGGCTCATTAATTTAGCTGTCTTAGTCTTTAATTAAATTTAATAAAACCATCAATTTGTTGAGCTGGGAAGCGATTTGAAAGCCTGGCTAATTTCCATTGATGAGACAGTGGCCGTAAAATAAACCAACAGTGTGCTCATTAAAAGAACAAAAGGATATTGCTTCAATTTCGCTGTCTAGACAATGGCCAAGCTGTAAGGATAACACAGCAGCAGCAAATACTGTGGGTCGCAGTGATGTTTATAACTATATGGGGTATGTATATATGTATGTATATATTGAAATTTGTGCGCTAAACCGATTTCAGATAATTAAAGCAAAACAACAACAAAGGCAATCGGCCGAATTCAGCAGAAATGTTTACGGCCAGAAGGTACAACAAGGGCCAATAACAATAACAAGAAGAACAGCTACCACTCGATAACCAGCAGCGGCAACGATGACAGCAACGACGAGGACATCGATGTGGGCGCGGGTCGTCAAGGCAACAACCCAACGACGCAGGTAAGCCAACTGCAGCCAAAACAAAAGGACACAACCAACTTAAATGAAAATTTCTAGCAAGCAGCACCTGCAGCCAAGAACTGCATTTTCCACGGCAACTACTTCAAAGGAAATAGGAAGTGCGCAAAATAGAGATTCGCTGCCAGCATTCCGCTGCAAAAAATCATTAAGAGATAAAGGCCACCACTTCCTCACAATTCGGTGACACCGCACAGCACTTCGCAGCTGGGGGCCATGAACTACTACGACGAAGAGATCACAATCACCGGACCGGACAGCAAGCACTTGAGCAGCGTCAAGGTAGACCAATTGTCCGGCCAACGAGGACAGCGACCTGCACGCCAACGTAATATGGTGAGTGATCAGCTGAAGGACTGCGAATTGAAATCAAATTATTTGAAAGGAAGCTTGACTCAAAAGCAAAAGGTTTATTAGATAAAATTATGTTATATATTCGCAAGGCCTTGGCAAAATTGATTTAAAGAGACCGCATTATTAATACCTTCAACTAAGAAAAGTACTGCCAAAAAGATAAGGGGTTACTGGGTTTGCATCTCATGAATGAAAATGTTTTAATTCATTCACTACTTTTTCCATTGATGCGAAATAGGCAGAAACAGTCAGCCATATCCTCAGCGACTGATCTTTTAAGAGACTGTCTCCATTACATGGGGGACTTCCCTTTTGCAGACCTGACTAATGACTAAGCTGAGAGGTTTCCTTGGCTGAATTAAAATATGCAAAACGACCAGAAACTTTAGAAACTAACTAGCTTACTAAGATGGCACTCCTCTCATCATAATTTCATTTTCTGCGCGAGCAAGCTTTATCTAGTATACGAAAAATTGGTTCTGAACAGCTAGGTGATCTTTTAAATAGTAAAAGTTTCAAGGGCATGACAACCTCGATCATCTAAATAGATGGACTGCCAAGAAGCTAAGAATTTGTGGTTCATAAAAACTATAGAAAGACAGTTAAAAAGAAAGACAAAGAAGAAAGAGTTGAGACTCGTGTATAATATAACTAAGTCGTAACTGAGTGCCTGAGTACCAGAACCGATCCAAATCCGACCGACCCCAAATCTATATATCTATTTAAATATATGCTAATGAGTCATCTAAGGACAATCTAAGAACCAGCCGAACCTTCCTCACTATCTATTTATGTCTCTAGTTTGACAAATTTTTATAATTTTATTACCTACAGAATAATAACATTTAGAACCCTTATTTCAACAGCTGCAGAGCCAATCCACAGACGACGACGGTCTGCTGCAGGACATTATTGATCACGACGACGAGGCAGAGGACAGTGAGGACGATGAGGAAGATGACAGTGAACTGCATTTGGTGATGCCCATGAGCCAAGCACCACGCCCACAAACGCGACCGGGCAGCTCGCGAAATGCTAAACCAGCGTCTGGGGCGACAGCAGCAACAGCCCCAAACATAGACGATGACGAGGAGGGGCTCAATTATTCCAGTGATGAGGCAGCGGCCATGGGAGCAGCGACCGCATCGCTGCCACATCAAAAGCTGCCGCAGCCACAGCAGCAGAAGCGCAACAGCGCCCATCGGGATGTACAGTTGAGTTTGACGCCCGATAAGTGGGAACAGCTGACACTGCAGCCGGAGCTGAAGGAACTCTTTCCCTATATACTGAAGTACACGCCGCAGAACATTGAGACGCCCTGCCACCTGCAGCCCTTCATACCCGAATTTGTGCCCGCCGTGGGCGATGTGGATGCATTTCTCAAGGTTGTGGCGCCACCGTTGCTGCAGCCACAGCGGCAGAAAGAGCTCGACGAGCACTTGAAACGCATGGGTCTCTGTCTGCTCGACGAGCCGTCGGGCGCCCAGAGCGAGCCCAGCCTGTTGAACATGAAGCTGCGTTCGGTGTTGAGCGGCAGCCGCGGACGGAATGCCCGCCATGCCAGTTCGGCGTCACTCGTGCCCACGGCCCGTTCGCCCAAGGATATTGATAAGTGGATCGGGGAGGTGGAGCAGGTGCATATGACACAGTCCATGTTCGATGCCCAGCCACGCAAGGATATCGATCCACTGCTTGAGGATTGGCCGCGGGCGTACGGCGAACCCGACACTGCGAGTGCTGTCGAGCAGGCCTACCGCTCCTGTCTGCAGGACCAAATGTCGCTGGCCGAGTATGTGCGTCTGCTGAGCGAACGCTTCAACATCGAAGGCACTCTGGACACACAGGCCGACTACATACACAATGTTCATACTCTTTTCGCTTTGTATTTGGCCGCCAGTCAGGCGTGGGAATAGAGGAGCGGCTGTGTTGCCAGCCAATCAGACGGAAATGCAACCGAAATTAAATCATTTGATGGTTTAACTGACTTTTTATGAACGTACTGAGGTTAAAACTTTGTGAAATAAATCGTTCTAACATAATTGTAAAATATAGTTGTTCTTTCAGAACACTTCTAAGCATTTTAAATGAGAGATAGCGATTTTACTGACTCTTGAATTAAATAAGATACATTTGACAGAAAAATATGCACTTTAACATTAATCTAAAACTTATATCGAAATCAGTGGATTGGTAAAATGATCTTAATAAATAAATAAACCCTCCATATTCTATTGATAACAGAGAAAAAATGCATTTGCTTTCAATTATTTAAGAGAAACAAAATGAAAGAATATATAGTATCTGTAAGTAAAGCAATTGCGGAAGCAATGGTTGAAATTACATTTTCTATAATATAGGCAATCAGAACACAGTCGAGCTATCCCTGATAAATCCCTGATGAAAGGATGAAACTCTACATTTAAACGCATTTTTACTTTATTTTTTAAATACAAGTAAATTGTTCTTCAAATTTATCAAATTATTTTTCGTCTGGAAAATCTGTTTTACCTTAGCTTTTGAACTGATGAGTCCCTTGGGCTACCTTTCATCCTTCAGCCCGGCTAAATATAGCCAAATCGATGGGACAAAGAGGAGCACAACAAGGTGGGCACCACTGGTGGCCGGTGGCACGGTTAATAACGCTAATGGCTTCGATTAAGTGACAGCCAGACGCAGTCGCTGCCAACGCCGGCATTTGTTTGCGCTTTGTGTAGCTGCGTTCTCAGCAACCTCCCCCCCCCCCCTCCCCCTCTCACTCCACCCACTCGCCTGCTACCAACACCACTCTGCTGTGTGTTGTGCATTAAATCGGTTGGAAAATTTTGCCGCAACTTGGCCATTTGATTGGTAGTTGGCGCCGTGAAATATGCAACGCTATCATCGCCCGGTCGGTTGCATTTTGTAGTGGAGATCCATTTTTAAAAAACTGCTAAATTGTCAGAGAGAGGCACTGCTCTGCTGTCCGTTTGTCACTCCTTCAGCTGCCGCATCAGCAACTTCGGGCGACAAAAATGAAATTCGCTGCCATTTCCTCCATTCCCTCTGCTTTTTTGCGTGCAAGTGCGAACAGCAACAAGGGACAAGCAAGAATGGACGGTTGGTAGCCAGTGCACTTTTTAAATCATAAAAAAATGTTCGGACCCTGGGCCAACTACGCGGCTTTATGCGCTGCGAGGCAACTGTAACCAAGTCGGCAAATTGCTCACAGGAAAATGTGGTGTCACTGTGGTTCTGCTTTATTTGTTCAAGTTCTCTCAAAAAAAGCACACATTTTTATGTTATTTTGTATACTTGTTTTTAATAGCAATTAGGCGATAATTTTATTGGAAGCATAGCAGATAGTTTCATTCATAAATGACTGCCAAAATTATCTGATTATTAAATTGCTCATTTCTATACGACATAAGTTTATTTAACAAATTTAATGATTGTCCACGATAGATAGTTTTAAATAAAAACACTTTGCTGACAAAAAAAAAAAAGTCTAATAACAAACAAGCTTACTCATCACTAAATAACTGAATGAAAGGCGATGATCGTATTGTCAGGAAACCATTCCCTTTTAGATAAGAGATTGTTTTTTTGTTTACTGGTTTTCAAATGATTGCATTGTTATGTTTATCTGACAATCATAATCCCACTTACTATGCTCTCCATATTTAACAAATATGAAACTGAGCATGTTAATGAAGTCAGGTCACTGTGCAAGCATTGAAAATGAAATGAAAGACGGAAAAGGCACGTACGTATAAAATGGATGGTGGACAGACAGCACAAGCAACAACAACAATAACAACAACACTTGTCAAGAGCATAAAGAAAGGGAACACCAAATAGTATTGACCAAGTTATTTGGCAAAGAGCAAGTTCTCAAGTTCCCAATCAAAAGCAAAAGCAAATGCGAGAACACAAAAGTGCATTACGATGTATGTAGCATACTTATGAGCGCACATAATAACCAACATTCAGACATAGTATTTGTTGTTGAAGCAGCTGGCGCTCGCTTAAGCCAATCATGCACTCCACTTACCGAGCAAACAGACACGCCAGCAACCACTAATTAGTTACGCCTGTCCAAAACGGCACGACTTGACGGTTCCGTCGTCCAGCTCCGACAATGTTGATGGCCTTAATTATCCGTAAGCTGTAAAGACCCCATTAATGCCATTTTCGATGCGTCTACGTAGCCGCTGCAGTTGACACTGCAAGTGTGGGTGGCGGTACATACATACATATGTAAATTAACTTGCGTGTGTGTGTGTCTGTGCGTGTCAATCAAAACTGCTGCCTTACAATTGTGCGGTTGTTGGCGCCACTGCCGCCACCGCTGAGGCATGCTAAATGCATTACACACATATTCAATATTACAGCAAATTTTCGCCATCGTCGTCTTTCGTGTGTGCCCTGTGATTGACGTTGACGTTGACCAAGTCGTTAAGAACGGCGCCTATGTAAATTATTGCCAAACACGCTGAACGTGTCTCATTTTGATGACCGCCTAGTGAACGCCATTTGCTGTTGACAGCCTTTGTGGTTGATTGATTTATGAACTCCAATTGCAAGTGCAGTTCATAGCTCACGTTTCTTGATTTTGCTTTACTATATATTGACTATTCAAAATTTAGCTTTGCACAGTTAATCAGTTAATTATCAAAATACATACCATACCATAAATCAATTTTTAAAAATCAATTGCATTTAGGTAACCCTATTTCCATAGTTACATAATTGATTTAAAGTATTTAAGCATCATTAATTAGGAATTCGTACCTATTTTTTGCCACTTCTACTATTTTGAGATATTGACATCTCTAAATGGTTTCAGTTATGTAGCAAAGCTATTTTAAATGATTGAGCGTTTACATTTTCAAACAATTGCAAGAAAGTTTACTTTGAATTTATATCAAGAATTTTAATTAATTTACTTCAATTTAAAAAAAAGAGGTTAGCTATTTATGTTCCAATGTTTTATTAAACAATTTTATTATATTATTGGCTAAAAATTTTACGTTAAACAAAAGACAAGCTCAGCTGCTGAACCTTTACTTTGACTTTAATGAATGAACATACACATGCACATACATATGCCTTAAAAACCTGTATTTTGAATCCAAATACTATTTGCGAAGTATTATTACTTAATTTCGTCTCTAATCTGTTTTTTCTTTAATATAATAATAGAAGTGCTCAAAAGAGATTATTTAACAATTCCAACGCTTTCCTTTAATTTAAACAAAATTAAACCACTATTTTATAAGTAACATATGGTGTGACCGTACATTTCCGCTACCTGTTGGACTATCGATAACAATCGATTGACTGCAGCAGCTGATGTTAGCGCTGCCATGTTTTTAGTGCAACGCAATGACATCAACAAGTTTGTTTTGTTTTTTAAATATTAAAAAATGTCACTGCCGAAAGCACCGGAGCAAAAACTTATAAACTGCAGCTATTGCGAAGCCAGAATTGACGACGACAACTATCTGGAGTGCCAAGAATGTAACCAGTGTGTGCAAATCAAGTGTCTGCAACGTTCCAGTACGCCGGGCGATCTACTTGGGGATGTCTTCTTTGATTTCACGTGCATTAAATGTGTGCGCGCCGCAGTCGAGAAGACCGGGACTACATCGACAGCAGCATCACAACCGCAAAGCGAGATTTTGCTGCGCCAGCGCATGCCTTGGTTGTTGGTCTTATCGCTGTCCCTTTACAACCTGTCTATCAAATCAAAGGGACTGAGCCATCATGGCTATTTCCATTGGCGCACCCACATCATAAGTTTTGTAGACAAGAACTGGAACTATTTGTTCGGGCCACGTGTGTAAGTATCGCCAGATTGCTTTAGTAATAACCAAGCTAAATTCCTTTTCTGTTGCAGGCGCCGTCGGAAGCAATGGGCTGGTTCCGTGTCTGGCACGCTGTCGCACAACAGTCCCGAATATTTTCAATCGGGCGTGGATGTATTCCAGGAACACGGCTGGTGGAAGCTCGCTAAGGACCAAACGCCGCGCAAAGTACAGGAGCAATGTAAGTATTAGTGTATGTGTATAATACACTTAATTCAACAAATAATTTATTCTAGATGAACAAAAGCAACAACTGCGTCAACAACAGCGTTTAGAGCGTCGTTTGCAACCGGCCGACGAGCAGAGTTGCGACAGTGATGTGTCTGTTACGGATAATCTAAACGATGTTAAGCCTTTGAATGTAGTAATTGCGCCGGAGGAGGCTTTGCAAACTGCTCTGCCAGGCGAAAGTTGCGCGCGTGCCATGTAGGTGCCCCCCGCTTTGCAGTTTAAAGTAATTTGTAATACAAATATTGTCTTTATAGACCTTATATGGGTCGTCCGCCCAAAATGGTGCCGCAGCCTGAAAAGGAAGCAGTGAAGCTACTAAAACCTGAACCACCACCGGATCAGGAACCCCAACAACAGCAACTTAACCCCGTGCAGGCCAGTCTTTTGGATTTTTTAACGGAGAATTTAGGTGGCGATGATCTGACCATGTTCAATAGCTTACCTGGCATTATGCCAGAGCCGTTGATTGGCGCGGGCAAAAGCGATTTCTTTATGACCGAAGCCTTGCTAGAGGCGCCAGCACCAAGCATGGGTCTCTTTGAAATGGAAACGAATTTCAATTTGCCTCCAACTGTCGCAAATAGCGCAACAGATAGAGGCACTTATTATGCAGCGCAGCAAAGTGAGCCGCCGATTAGTGATAATGCTTGCAGCAGCATGGAACTGTCAACGGCAGCTATTTACGAGGAAGACGACATGATGAAGAGCAGCGCGCAAAGTGATCACACAGATACAGAACAGGAAACTGAAGATGGTGCCTACCAGCAACCACGCATTGTTCAAATAACCAATTATCAGGCAAAAACCACGAATCCGGAGGAGTTAGAGCGGAAGCAGCAACTCTTGGAGGTGGATCACATCAAGGAGGAAGCCATAGAGGAAACGCCAGAAGATGCTGAGGAGGAGGAAACCTTGACAACGAAATCAACTGTTCTGGAACCGTGCAAGCCGAGCGGCTTTATACGCCAGCCCCGTCGCAATTGGCCGTGGCTGGCTGAGTCTTCCAACACAGACGACACAAATGAAACGTCAGCTGAAAACCTTACACTTATGAGTGTTTATGAGGAACAGGAATTGCATCTCCAACTGCAGAAGTTCTTTACACTAGAGCAGGAAGGACTGCCCATTGATATACCCGCTTATGTACGTCGGCTCTATCGGAAGTTGTGCGTGCGAAAATGGAAACGCGAACACAATCGCCCTATTTTTAATCTGGATGAGTACATCGATCCCACGATACGTGCACGACGACAATTCGAGCAAAGGCAGGAACAGATACTCGATCGTTACCAACTGATTACACATTCGTATCAGAATGCAAATACCTCGTTCTATGCTCGCATCACCGGCAGCATACAGTACGAATTCTTTGAGTCCCCGTACTCAAAACGCGTCCTGCATCCCTTCATCTTTCGTAGCAAAGAAATCGGACCGCCTTGGCTGCGTCTAATGTGTGAGCTGCAGCATCGCGTAAATGGGGAGCATCCGACACGATCGACAATCGATTTTTGCTACGTACGACCGCAGCATATAGCGGCGGTCAATGCGCTTCTCCAAAGCGCCTTCTGGCCAGGCATCGATGGTAAGATTCTAAGAACGTCTCTATTGAATTAACTTGTGAGCTTCGTTTAGGATTTTATAATACCCTGTACCCAAAAAGAGTATATTAGGTTCTCCAGCCCTATTATATTCTTAATCAGTATGACGAGCGAAATCAATTTGTCCGTCTGTATGAACGTCTGGATTTCGGAAAGAGTTGAATCCGCTCGACTCTAGCATTCCTTTCTTGTTTTCTTATGAATCTCTGTACATTTTTTTTACAGTGAGCGATTGCCTAAGTTATCCGGACTATAGCGTGGTCGCGCTATACAAAAAGCTTGTCGTCGGCTGTGGCTTTCTCGTACCCGACGTAGGCTACAACGAGGCCTATATCACATTTATGGCCGTGCGGCCCCATTGGCAACGCAGCGGTATTGCCACCTACATGCTCTATCATCTGATACAGGCAAGTGAAATAATACAATTCATAAAATAGAGTATCAAAACAAGAATTTAATTAATTGGGCGATCAAATTGTAGTCCAAATCGATAATGCAAAGGTTATTTTTAATTGAATAGAGAAACTATGTTCAAATCCCTCCTAATTCAAACTCTTACTTCTCTTTCAACAGACTTGCCAGTCGAAGGACATCACGCTACACGTTTCCGCTTCCAATACGGCTGTGCTGCTTTATCAGAAGTTTGGTTTCAAAATGGAGGAAATAGTTCTTGGCTTCTATGACAAGTATTTGCCGCTCGATTCCAAGGAGAGTCGAAAAGCCTTCTTCTTACGCCTATCACATTAAATAAAGCAAAAATGATTTTATTTATATGTAATTTTATATTTTTGACCAACTTTACTGTTTACACCAATATGTGGTTCACTTCTTAAGCAAATATTTTCTCCTCTCGTCGTTTTTTGGTCACCACTGTGCCGGGCTTGTGCTGTGCCTCTGGATGATTCATGAGCTCGGGCGGACAAACTGACACCGGACTGGCCGTGACGCATTGTTTCAGATCATAGAATAGGCCACTGTCGTCCTTGGTCACAAAGGAAATAGCCATACCGGTTTTGCCTGCACGTCCCGTACGACCAATACGATGCGTATAATCCTCGATGGACTTGGCCATGTCATAGTTAATAACCAGCGATACATCCTTGATATCAATACCACGACCAGCCACATCGGTGGCCACCAGTATATCTTTAGCGCCCGATTTAAGAGATGCCAGCGCATATTCACGCTGCTCCTGACCCTTGCCACCGTGCAGAGTACACGAATTGTAACCCAATTTCTCCAGACCCTTGGCCAGCACATCGGCACCCTTCTTTTGATTGACGAATATAATGACTGGTGGTTCGATGCCACGAGACAATATCTCCATCAACTTCTTGCGTTTGTCGTTCTCGCCCATCATGTAGACGATCTGCTCGGTGCGCTCTGTGGGTTTGCCGACGGAACCAATGTACACGGTGGCCGGACGACGCAGATAGGATCGCGCCAGACGTTCTACGGCTGGCGGCATAGTTGCCGTAAACATCACCGTCTGACGATATTTCTTTTTGGAGTAGAAATTCTCCATGAGTTTCTTCTCATCCTCGGCTTCTTCGGAGTCCGGTTTTAAATTTGTTACGGGCATATACTCCAATATCTTTTGCACGTCCGGCTCGAAGCCCATGTCTATCATGCGATCAGCCTCATCCAACACAATGTAGGTACACTGATTGAGCACCAAATAGCGATTCTCCAGCACATCAATTAAACGACCTGGCGTGGCAATGACGATTTCACAGCCCAGTCGGAGGCGGAAACCCTGCTCCTCTCGCGACAAACCGCCCACAACGACGACAGTACGTATGCCCAGGGGTTGACCAAATTTGGTGGTCTCTTCCTCAATCTGCTGTGCCAATTCACGCGTTGGTGCCATAATAATAGCATATGGGCCCTGGTCCACATCTTCGAGTCGCTCGATCTTGGGCAACGACTGAATCCACGAGAGCAGGGGTATAAGGAAGGCAAGGGTTTTGCCGGAACCTGTTTCAGCGACACCGATAATGTCACGATTTTGCAAACCAATTGGTATGGCCTGCCTCTGAATGGGTGTGGGTTCCTTATAGCCCACGCGATCAATGATCTCGATAATTTCGGGTGGAAAGCCCGATTCACTCCAGCAACGTATGGGATTGGGTATTTTGCCACCCTTGATGGTTATGTTATAATCTTCACGGAATATGCGCCAATCGCGTTCAGTCATCTCATCGTGGTCCTTCTCGGACCAATGACGATCGTCCCATTTTTGTTTGTCCTCTTTGCGTTTCATTTTCTTTAGACGCACCTTCTCCTGCTCCTTCTCGGCCTCAGTGCGTCGTTTTTCCAGCAAATCTCCGTAGAATTTGCTTTGGGTGCGCTTCTGCTCTTTGATATCGATGCCGGCCACATTGCCGCGTCCAAAGAACTGCACATGATGCCTCTCCTTGTATAGATTATTGTAATCTATGGATGTGTCCTCGCCAGTATCCCAATCGAATACAAATTTGCGATCGTTGAGACGACGGACTCGACGCTTCTTCTTGACAATGCCCAAGTAACGTTCGCGAATGGCCTCCAGTTCCTTTTCCTTATCCTTTTGTGTTAAATCCTCGGCACGCTTGCTGTCCCGATCACGATCGCGACGGTCCTCGCGTCGATCCGGTTTCGCAGGCGGCCCCATTGATGCAGGTGGACCCGTCGAAGCCGGCACCATTGCAACATCGCCTGCTCTGCTACTGCTGCTACCGCTGCCAGACTGTGACATTTGCGCACGCGCAACATCTTGGGCCGCACGTATGCGATCCACCTCCTCCTGACGACGCTTTAGCGCCTCGGCCGCTCGTTGCTCCTTGGTCAAAAAGACTGGCTTGCTGCGTGCATCCTCCTCCCGCTTCTTCTTATCCAGTAGCTCTTCCAGCGAGAGCGGCTCTTTCTTTTGTTTTGCGTTTCCCTTTTGATCCAGTTCATCATCATCCACAATGAGTGGCACAATTCCGCCGGCCTCCAATTTTGACTTGGTCACTGACCCGCCTGCCATTCCCTCCTGTTTAGACTTCTTCTCCGGTTCTCCTGCGCCTCGAGGTCCGCGCTCTCGCGAACGTTCTCGTACGTTGTTTTCCCGTGGACGCTGGCGCTCAGGGGAGCGGCCACGTTGATAACGATCTTCACTGGAATTGTCGAAAAACGGCTTTAATGTTATTTCTTATTATACAAATTCTGCCAGCAGACTCACCGCGAGCGTGAACGCCGCTGACGCCGGTCCTTGTCTCGTTCCCTTTCCATTCTGTCTCGTTCACGTTCTCTGTCTCTTGGATTTGGGCGCTCCCGATCCCTTTGTCTCTCCCGCTCCCGATCAACCATGCGGTCATCTCTATACCGCTCCCGTGAACGGGAGCGTCGCTTTTTATCGTTTACCATTGCTTTTTAACAGAAAATTCTATTAACTTTTCAACAATTATACGTTTACCACAGCCAACAGCTGTGTGGCTTGTTTACGGCAGTGTTGGGAAACGTGCAACGGCCTTTAGCGATGAAACTTTGCTTGGGTCACGTAAAGAATGGGACTTGGAATTCGAAGATTCACAGCTACACTCGATTGTAGCAATTAAATTGAATTCATATTACCCTAAAATAAATCACACCCACACCTTCGTTTGAACATTTTATCTACTTAGAAATTTACTTTAATTTAATCTGCCTCTGAAGCTAATTTGTTCGTACTTCAATTCAATTTGCAATTGAGTCGCAATATTTTAATATCAATCAATCTTTTGGACTATCCTTTAACGATAAATATTTCAAATCTTTCTTTATTTATTTATTTATTTAAATAGAAAAACAGGAGTAAGCAATTTTAAAAATAAAGAGAGAAAATAATATCACATATGGGGAACTTATAAAAGGCCACGAACTCAATGAATTATAATGGTCGCTTAAATGTATAAAAATATAGCTGGAAAATAAAAGCACCTAAATTTAATACACAAACTATTTATTGAAATTTTTGTGGCTTACAATATGCATTACTTTCATAATTCATCACAAACTGCGACATAATCACTACTCTATAAAATGCCATCTCTCACGAACTTTCTTATTGCTGTGATTGTGCTCCCCCAAAACAAACGGCGCATCCAACGATGGAGCCAGTTCAGCGCGGTTTCTCAGCCGAAACAGACGATATAGGCGCGACGCCAATTGAGGCGAGAACAGAGCGACTCGTTGAAGCAGAAAGAACAAAAAATTAGCGACGTCAACAGGAAAAGAGAAAACAAAAGAACTTATTGCACTTGAAAAAAAAATCATAGCTGCGGCCTAGTTGGACAAAATTACTGTAAACAAATCAGAAGTAAAATCTGTGCGTTCGCGCAGACAATTGAATTAAAAACTCATCAGCATTTGTGGGGGCGTTAAACGTAGAATCTTTTTGTGGGCGGCGCAGCAGCAATACAAAGAAAACAGCTGCTGCTACTGTTGCCTGTGCTAATTACTGTTTAGCGACGATATAACAATAGCAACGCTATGAGCGGGGATCAGGAGACAGCGCCTATAGCAGCGCCCCGCAATGGCAGCGCTTCCAATATGTTTCGCAGCTTTGGTTCACTGTTCGGGTCGAGCAGTGCGGCAGGACAGACGGGTAGAGCGCCCAGTCCGCAATCTGGTGACGGATATGTCGAGTTTGGGATGCAGGATCCGGAACGGCATGGACGCACATTAGGCACATTTGCCGGCGTCTTCAGTCCGGTGGCTTTGTCCATGTTCAGCGCTTTGGTTTTCATACGTGTTGGTATGTGCTATGACGTCATACCACCTGTTAAAAAATCTATTGTTTTCTTGTGGCCTCTCCTCTCTTCCACAGGGTACATTGTGGGAAATGCCGGCCTATATGTCACTCTGCTGCAGTTCATCATCGCTTACGCAATCCTTCTGTTTACCGTTGCAAGCGTGTGCGCCATTTCCACAAACGGTGCAGTGGAGGGGGGCGGTGTTTATTGTAAGTGCGCTTTATTTGCATATTTACATTTGTTTTGTCACACAAGTATTCGCTCTCTCATTAAAGTCATGATAAGTCGAACACTGGGCATTGAGTTCGGCGGCTCAATTGGCACGCTCTTCTTTTTTGCCAATGTCGTTGGCTGCGCCATGGCTATTTCCGGCTGCACGGAGGGCATTATACAGAATTTTGGACCCGGCGGCTACTTTGTTCAGGGCAGCAGCAACACCCTGCCGGACGGCACTTGGTGGCGCTTCCTATTCAGCAGCGTTATCAATACATGCATGCTCCTGGTCTGTCTCATCGGCGCCGCCCTTTTCGCCAAGACGTCAGTGCTTATTTTGGGGACTGTGACTGTCAGTCTCTTTGCCACATATATCAGCTTTCTGGCTGTCGGCGAAAATAATAATAAGGTAAGAGGTTCCCATTCAGTTGCCACTCACACTCATCCTCATCACTCATTGACCGAAAGCCACCGAAAGGAGCTTATCAGTCCACATATTTATATGTAGATCTAGAATGCCTTGTTATCTCTGCTGATATTTTGCGGCATACCGAGTACACCAGTCGCTCTAATACCCCCGCATTTCTTATATCATTCGGCTTTGTTATCAGCACCGCCGCGGGGTCAGTTTTGCTGATTGGCTCGCTTCCGTATCTGTGCCTTTTTAATTCTATGATTTGTACTTTTTTCGATGGCTATGCGTCATATCCCCCCATAATGGCAAAAAATATAAACTTAGTGTTGTATTTTAATTAACTGAAAAGCCCGGCAATAAAGCTTTTTAAATAAGTCATACCCCCTTGTAACTCTTTATAAATGAGGAACCCATATAAAGCTACACTAGAAATGTTTTCAAACCCAACAAATCCCTTTTCCACTATGTGCGTGCATTATTTGTACATACACTGGTCGGCACAATTATTTTGACGAACTGTACTCACGACTATCGGTGCTGGTTGCTTTTAGTTTCAAGGAATAACGGTACAATTTTCATACGGGATATAGAGTTCATAGCAACAACAATATGTAGGCAAAATATTTTGCCTATTACTCTTCACACCTTCTTTCTACAAATGACAATGTGAGTTGACTGCGGATTCAGGCACGGCATAAGTATTTTGACCAAATCTTTGTCGCCGTTTTCGCGTACGTTTTATCAAGTGATACTAAAATAACTTTGGTGTAACAATTTTTGTTGACCTTTTTACATTATTTTCATTAAAATTTGATTCAAAAGTAATCGATACAATGGTAAAAAAGACAGAATTAAGTTATGTTGTTAGAGCCTCAATAGTGGCGAAGTTTAATGCCGGCGTAGCACCAAAAGACATTGCAAATGAATATAATTTGTCGCGGCAAACAGTCCACTATCAAATTAACAAATATAAGACCCACAATCACGTCAAAAACTTGCCTAGATCAGGTGCTAACCGCAAAACAACACCCATTGAAGATCGAGTCCTATTGCGGGAATTTAAAAAAAATATTCATTTAAAGCCGCAAGCTGCTGCAGATCAATGGAATAAGTCGACCAAGACTCCAATCAGTGAGCGTACTGTTCGGCGACGCCTAAAAGAAGTAGATTTTAAGACATACAAAGCGAAGGACATACCTTACATATCAAAGGTGAACAAGCTCAAAAGATTGGCTTTTGCAAAGGAGCATCTGCATAAGCCAAAAGAGTTTTGGAGAAGCGTTCTATGGACAGATGAAAGCTCCTTTGAATACAATTCATCAAAAACAAAGATTTTTGTAAGGCTCCCACAGTTTCAAAGACAAAAAAATATCCCCGTATGTCAAAAAGTGAGCCATGGCGGAGGCTCAGTCATGTTCTGGGGATGCATTGCGTACAATGGGTTAGGTGATTTCGTTCCCATCACCGGCTCAATGAACCAGCAACAATATTTGAGTACCCTTAACGAAAACGCATTCCCTTCCGGTGACAGGCTGATTGGAGAATCATTTATCCTGCAACAGGATAACGCCCCATGCCACAAAAGCAAAATGATAAGAGCATTTTTAACCGATGTTGGTGTTACTACTCTGGATTGGCCACCACAAAGTCCGGACTTAAACGTTATTGAGAATGTGTGGTCTCTTGTAAAACGTAAAAGAAATGCGTCTTTGCATAAAACCGAAGAAGAAACTATTTCCGAGGTCACTTCTCTTTGGAAAGAGATACCATTAGAGGTCCTTCAAAATTTAGTGGACTCAGTTCCAAGACGTCTTCAAAAAGTTATCGAAGCCAAAGGCGGGTATACATTTTATTAATCTACCATCAATTTCTTATGTTTTGTTTAGTATTAAGCTTTGTTTTTTTTGTTAATATCCATTGTCAAAATACTTATGCCAACCCATGAAAATTACCTTGATTTATAATTTTAAAAGTCCTTATAAAAATATATCCTTTGAATTATTTTTAAGTTTGTAATACCAATATGGAATTGAGAAAAAAAATTTCCTTTGATATCTTAAACCAATAACCAGTTATTGACAAAAATGTATGATTTTCTTCTCGTCAAAATAATTGTGCCGACCAGTGTAGTACTTAAACTTCTACTTTATATTATAATTTCAATTTTTGCACATTCTAGTATCGCTTTTGACCTTATCTCTCAATTCTAAACAGATCTAACCTTAAACCTAGCATATGTCATTGAAATACTTTTTCGTTTTATTATACTTTGTTCCTGATCTCAAACCTCGATTCCGATGCATTAGAATATAAAATGTATATATAAAAATACAAAATATAAGCACAAAGAGTGAGCACAAAAAAACTATTCTTATATTAAGACCTGTTCCGATTTTGAAATTAAATTACGATTTTCAAATCAAACAATTCCTTCTGGTTAAAGCTGACAAAGATAACATATCAGAAAAATTGTGCCACCTTATCTAATTGTTAAATAAATACTACAGGTTGAAATCAAAGATATTTAAATAAATAGTGTTTGAAGCCGGAAAACTCAATAAATGATTGCTATAAAGACGAATGAATGTACTATTTTAAAATACACATATACTTTGAATTTGTCACTAATAATTACACAAAGATGATGCCAACTATTTTATAAAATAATCAACTAAAACCACCAAAAAAACCTGAATTAATCGACTGTAACACTTACTCCCCCTAGAAATGGGCTTTATAGGGTAATCCACATGCGAAAGCGCTCAACCATAGCGTTTGAAACTATCAACAGATAATATTATATTTATCTTAACTAACATATTGCGCTTTCGTTCTCTGTAGATACCAGTGCCGGATCAGAATAAGTTATACAATGCTACACAATTTCTGAAATACACTGGCCTGAGTGGTAACACGCTCAGTCAAAATTTGGGGGAGCACTATGGTCGGGATTATACATCCAATGGCAAACAAGTGGACTTTGCCGCTACCTTTGGTGTGCTGTTCTCTGGTGTTACTGGCATTATGGCCGGCGCAAATATGTCTGGTGAACTGAAGAATCCATCAAAGAGCATTCCAGTGGGCACACTGTCGGCTGTCGCCTTTACTTTTGTCTCCTACATCATACTCTCGTTTCTGATGAGCTGCACCACACCGTATGAGACCATGCAGAATAATTATCTGTTCCTTATGCCGGTCAATTTGTGGCCACCATTCACAGCAATTGGTATTTTGACCGCCACCTTCTCGACGGGATTGAGCAATCAGATTGGATCGAGTCGAATTTTGGAGGCGCTTTCAAAGGATCAAGTTTTTGGTTCACTACTGAATTTCGTGCTGCGTGGAACTTGGAAGGGCAATCCCGTAGTCGCCGTGTTCGTCAGTTGGGTGCTGGTTGAGTGCATTCTCCTGATTGGCTCCTTCAACATTATTGCTCAAATCAACTCGGTGCTGTTCATGCTCTCATATTTGGCCACAAATCTGGCATGTCTCGGCATTGAAATGACGGGTGCACCCAATTTCCGGCCACTCTTCAAATACTTCACCTGGCATACGTGTCTGGTCGGTCTGCTCGGCACGCTCATCATGATGTTCGTTATCAATTCAATTTATGCCTTATCCTGTATTATACTGTGCCTTTGCCTGGTCATCGCGCTGCATCTTTTCTCGCCGGCCACTCAGGCGGCGCAATGGGGTTCCATATCACAGGCTCTAATGTTTCATCAGGTAAGCTGAACTAAATCAATAAAAGTCTTCTTAAGATCTCATTCATTTTTTGCATTTGTTCTACAGGTGCGCAAATATCTACTTATGTTGGATCCACGCAAGGATCACGTCAAATTCTGGCGTCCACAAATTCTACTTCTGGTTTCCTCGCCACGTTCCTGTTGCCCGCTTGTGGACTTTGTGAACGACTTGAAGAAGAGCGGCCTATACATCATAGGCCACGTAAAATTGGGCGATTTTAAGGAAGTCAGCGATGTGGCGTATGAGGAAAACCAACAATGGCTCTCATTTCTGGACCACATGAAGGTCAAGGCCTTTACAGAATTCACACTCAGTCGCAGCATTCGCGAGGGCGCGCAGCACTTGATCCGTTTGTCGGGCATCGGCGCTATGAAGCCCAATACCATTATACTGGGCTTCTATGATAGCGAGGCGCCCAAAGATTTCTTCCAAAAGTAAGTAAATCTATAAAATATTTATAAATGTTACTGCTATTAAATTGTATGCATTTTTTTTATTCGTTTAGCGGTTCTTCACCTTATAAGACCGATGGCTTCAACAACGGCGATATACAAAGCTTTCCTATACGCCGCGATGGCGAACCCAAGAATTTTGATGTGATGGAATATGTGGAAATTCTTTGCGACACGCTGCGCATGAAAAAGAATCTCTGTCTGTGCCGCAACTTTCAACGACTGGACAAGAATTTTATTACCATGTATGTATTACATATGCTAATGAACAATTAATAATTATAATGTGCATGCGGGCATTACTACAATGGTAGAAACTAACAATCTTTTATGGTTTTTAATCTATATATTATGAAAGTATATGCTTTTTTAAGGCATCTAAACCATCTAACCTAATATTAACAAGCATATATTATATTTGAAATTATTCAAACTCTTCTAAACAGGTTTGAACTCCTTTAAAAACTGTGCCAGAGCTACAGCTCAGGAATTAGTTTAGCTATAAAGTTCATGTTTTATTTCAATTTTCTTCTACTTTATCAAATATAAATATTTGAATTAGACAGAGAGCAGAAAACCTAGCAAACCAATTGGGACACTACTTATTATACATACGTCTAACTTTTACTTTTACAGAAGCAAACACGTTAAATATATTGACGTATGGCCCATTAATGTCTTCAATCCCACATCGGAGGACACCTTTGACATAGTTTCGCTATTTATGATGCAACTGGCGGTCATAATGCTGGCCAAATGGAAGCATTTGCGCGTCCGTATATTCCTCTGCGCGACTAATGACGAGCGTACTGTGAGGTAAGCATTGAAAAGAATCGCATTAATTAATATTTTACTCACCTATCTCACCGCTTTCCTGCAGCACTTTTGACACACAGACGCCACATATGGAGATTTTCTCGAAAATGAAGCTGGAACAATCGCTTAAGGAGCTGCGTATTACAGCGGACATTATTGAGATACAGGAGTGGAGTCGCGACACTGAATTCACGCGTCACGCGCGTATTCTCAAGCAGTTCACACAGCAGGCAGAGGAGGGCATCGATGGCGATCTCAGCGAGGATAAGTTGAATCGGTCTCTGCTGTACATGCAACGCGCCAATCAAATCATACGCGAACGCTCAGATCAAACAGCGCTATCCTTCATATATTTGGCAGCGCCTCCTAAGCTAACATCCACCGATTTTGCTCAGCGTAGCAGCAACTATATGGATCTGCTTACCGAGTTGACCGCGGAGCTGCCCCCCACTATTTTGGTGCATGGTGTCAGCACCGTGACATCGACGACGCTTTAAGCGGGGTCATGTGGCTATAGCCAAGTGATAGTAAATACAATCACACACCCACACACATGCACACACACACACACACACTATGTTTTTTCAGTCTAGATATGCGGTTTAACAAAAGCAAACCGCATAAAATCAATTGAAACGAACGATATTGCTTCCTTTTTCAGCATCTTAATGAGCTTTATGGTTTGTGTGTGCACGTTGTGTGTGTGTGTATGTGTCTGTGTGTGCGTGAGCGTTTGGATAACTCGATATATGTATGTATACACAAATATTTATTTGCCTTAATTTCATTTATTTAGTTAATTGTATATTAATTAGCACACACTAAAAACTTGCAGCAGTTCGTCTCACAAAACTGTCATATCAGCAACCGAATTAACACCCTTTTTATATAAAAATATATCACACACATACATGCATATATCGCATAAGAAATTTGTGAGTAAACTCCCGACGATATACACCAACAAGTTATGTTTGTGATTAAGAACAAATGGTAGAAAGTTTTTACAGATTGGGGCGCTGCAAATGACGAATGATTTCGTATGAATAGTATTATTATAAAACCATGACTTTTGGTGCAACTCAACACATTTCATTGTTTAGTTTAAATACATATGCATAATATTTGTATATTATATCGACTTTTAACATTATGATGCTAATAAAAATAAACTTTATGTGTAATGTAATAAAGATAACAATTCTATTAGCTTAAACGGGCACTTTCTAAATCGAACTCAACGCTATCTATTTATGGAACACTTCTCTCAACATTTTTTCAAAACTGTTGAAGCTAGGTATTGGATTAAATAAAGTTAGTTTCTACATGATCTGGGGCCAGGAGAAGTTTTTCACAAATGAGGAGAATAGCTGAAAGGAACTTCACAAAAGTGGTTCAGTAGGTTCTGTAGATATATAGTACACGTATTGTTCATATTTTGTTTATTCTAAGCAATAAATATAGCTTGAGCATTCGTGATAGAGTTACAAAGACATATGGTTTGACGGTGTAATCCTTGGACGAATCGAAATATTGACAGACTTCAGGGAATATAGTGATTGATGCCAAAGTAACCAAACAATGCCCTTGTACCATCCATCCGATTTTTCACTGGCAAAGTATTGGCCATTCAAATTGCTGAAAATTAAAGAGAAACATTGTAGGTGTTTATATAATTCTCTTAACAATTGCATACCAGTAAGGTTGGCAATTATCAGAATACCACCAGCCAGCCCCAAGAATTTGTGCACAGTTCTGTCCTCTTCCATTGTTGCGATCGTACGTACTGAAGTTCTGCATGATGTGAAATCCCATCGAATCTCCAGCAGAACCACCATATGTTCCGAGTGATTTCAGCATATAGTGCTCGTCTTCGCTGCCAATTGCAAAGTTGTCATAATGAGCATACGTTTTTTTTCCTTGCCAGTCCTCAAGATTTATAAACAGTTCATGGGGTTGTGCAGATGTCATTTGATATATTTTTTCTAGGCCGATGAAAAATTCTCCATCGAAGACACCGAAACCATTCCTGTAACTGTACCAAGTTCGCGAAAAATCAACCTTGCCGTCGATTCTTCGTTGGATTGGGATCAAACCTGACATTAATGGCAATACTTTTGACTGTTCTTCAACAACGGCAATGTGATGCTGTGCTTGTGCAATTAGATTTCTGTGTAGATTTGTTGTGGCGGGTACTTGGGCATAAGGGCTGTTGCTGAGTGTGGGAATTTGTTTCTGTAAATATTTTAATTTCTGTTCACGCGTTTGACTTTCTCTTGAGTAGGATAGTATAGTATTTACCTGTCCTTTACATGTCTTTAGATAATCTATAACAATTTCTTTCAAATTAATCTGGTTATAATAACTTCGCTTACCAGACTCGCACGACTTTTTTTCTGATTTCAATGATATCCGTTCTTCATTACATTGATAGAATTGGTGTTCTAGGTCAGTAATTTTTGAATTCATGCGTTGTTCTTTCGAATTCATATCGCTATAACAATTCTGGATAGACTGGTACGATGATTTTTCTGATGATTCTATCTGTTTTTGTAAGCTAATGATATTGGAATTCAGGTGCTCTATTATCTTTGTTTTCGAATTAATTTGGCTATTACATTCCTGGATAGTAAACTTGTTCGAATCTGTTTCTGATTTCAATTTTATCTCTTCTGCATTGCACCGATTGATTTCATTTTGTAAATTCGCAATATTGTCGTCCCTCGATGTCATTTCTATTTGTAACGCATGTTGGCATTGATTGCTCAGTTTAGGACTAAAACTTGTAGTTGTTTCTTCCTCATGTTGCGGTTGGCTTTTGAATTTTATTTGACACTCACTTTCTTTATGCTTGGACGTTGCTATATCGGCTTGTAATCTCTTTATTTCTTGTTCCCGCTCTTTTACATTAGTTTCATAGAGTTCTACTTTAGTTTGCAGATCCACTATTTCTTGGTTATTTGTTCTATCGATTGCACTAAACATATTAATTAGGAACTGACTTTCAATCAACTGGCTTTCAAGTTCCTTTATTTGCTCCCCATAATCCTTAATTGGATTCTCCATAACTTCTGCTGGCTTCAAGAAACAGATAAGATTTCATTTATTTATTACATAATCATTTACAATGTCTACGTTGTGAGTAGGATTGTCATTATTAACTCACAAAATCCATGTAGTTGGGCCTTGAGTCGGAGTCGGACGCATTAATTTTAGATATTAATAAAAGCAAGAACAATAAAAACACAGAGCACATTGAATCAATTTTATGTGCTAAAAAATATACTGCCGAATTCGCAGAAATCTAAATTTGACTAAGCTCAATCGCGACACAAAGTTGGAATTACTTGTATTTATGCGAGTACACTATATGTTATCAGTTTATACATACATATGTACATGAAAGATGCTCTCTCTTAACAGAGGCCATTGACAAAGACGCAGACAGGGGCCGACTTAGATGACCTTAGACCTTCGCTTTTTAGTTTTTTTAGTCGACTCTCCAAGCCACTCCAATGATTCCGTAGCATATAAAAGTAGGTGCTACTAAGCGAGGAAAACAAATTTTGGTGGTTTGGTTTACGCTCGCGATTAAAATGAATTAGTCCGGATAAAATTTAATCTGATTTTTTTTTTTTTGAGAAAGAATTAATTTCTTGTGTGGAGTATCATAATTAATACTGTCTGGTATGGTAAAAGGGTTTAACAGGGTTTAAAAAAGTTCTGAGCAACTCACGAATATGAGCACAAATATATTGGAATTACTTTTGGCAATTATTGAGGATTATGTAGCTCTTATACATTGATTATTGAACAAGGATATGATTTGATTTTATTGGCAAATACAAGTATGTCATGAGGGGTTATTGAATTTGATCCCTTCGATGACTTTATGGCGACTTTTAATCAAGTTCATAAAATATTTCTAAAAAAAATTTCTCTATAAAAAAAAAGTGGTAAGAATTTGTATTTCAAGAATTATAATATCTTGTTGATCATCAGAACAATTGATGTATGATCTGATATTCGTATGCAAATGGCACGATCATAGAGTGAATTTATTTTCTAAATTTTAATTAAGGGTGAGTTACGAGTCATTAATGAAAATGTAGCGAGCTTGAGGGTGACATAATTACACAAACTGGTTAATAGCTGACGTTCCGTTAAAAAAAGTTAATAAAAACTGAGATAGGATTGTCACTTTCCCTTAACAGTCGCCCGCTAACACTTTTTCGACTATGGTCCACAACTGGCCTTTGTCCGATGTTTGTTGTATGCCATTTACCGCTACCATTAAATGCTTATTAAGATACGGTGTTGTCCAGGATGTGCAGGTCACGTGTAAAAAAGGACACTGATTGCCCAGCGGCAAGCGTAACAGAGTCATAAATGTCAACAGCGCCGATATTCGGTAACAATATTTATGTGATGACTATTTATGATACCCATCAAGAGCGACCGAAACACGCGCCGCCCTTCAACCTTTACCTGCCCTACGATTACGATTACGTTTTACGGTGGCTCTCGCTCTAGGTCGACAGATATCCTGCAGTAAGGACTGCTCACTATTTGTTTTCCATTTCCAAATCATTGTTAAGTGTCAATAAATTCTACTGAGCATGGCAATTAGGTGACACTTTTGGGTTATCGAGCGCAACGCAAGTCTAACGGATACTCCAAGAAGGTAGGCCGATAACAGGCGAGGCGAGGACATTCGGGCAGATTGAAGAGTGCACGCCAAGCTCCTTCTAGATGCCTAAGTTATGTTGATAGTTTTCAGAAAAACATCGGCTACCTTTAGTGATAATTACAAGTCGATTTTTTATATGTAAATTCAACTAACTACATAGCATTTAATTAGGCACATAATTGTGAGTGTTAGAACTTAGATCAACCGAACTGATAATCTGTTTATTAAACAATTAAATGTAAGGCCGTGTAGGCCAAAGATTAGAACAATAATCTCTTCGACAGTCGTTTCACTTTTTTCATTCCTACAAAAGCACAAAAACTGACTTAATTTTTAAGCGATAACTACATATGATATGATTATTATGAACATTAAATGGTTTCTCATCCCATTCCAAAGTTTATTTAATGTAGAAGGTAATCTTTATGGACTGCCCTGGTATAGTACTTATATTCAACAAGCAATTGTGAATGTTGCATCGAAAAATAATATCTTCAAGAGAAATATTAATAGGAAATAAAAAATAAGAAACAAATATTTATGGCCATTGCTAACAACTATGTATTTGTCATAATAAGCATTATTTTGATAATATTTTCGAATTCATTCTATTTATGAAGTACCCATTGCCCAGAATTGTAATTAACAGCAATTTGTGATTGATAATTGGAATTAATTTATTTGTTGTTTTTTTTTTGCGTGCATTTTTGAAGTAATTCTTTATATTTGATTTTTTCTGGTGTGAATGAACTGTTTTGTGATATGAATATAAGCTTGAAAAATATAAATAATGTTTGTCTATCTACATGGAAATACTTTCGCCCGTTCTGCTAACATTTCAAGCGTCAAACGACAGACATGCTGTCTGCCGGAATTGGAGAATATTAAAGATTTGCACAGCTGTGCACAAAACACCCAAAACAAATATTCGTGGAAACAAACAAATAAATATGAATGTATAATACAGATCATAATGCCGCAATATTACATGGTAATTATGCTTAAGATTGCAGAGCTCTGCAGCACACAATAGACAGTCCTCAGCTTTGAGGGCACTGGACAAAGGATAGGAAATCGCGTGTGAAACAAAGGACTCTGCAACAAGTGCTAAGGTCGAGAGTTTCCCACACACAAAAGATTGAAAGTGACAAAGAAACAATCTCACGCAATTCCTAAACAACAGAGTGGAAACCCCTCTTCTAATCGCATTTTCGCAATTTAGCGCCAACGTATAATCCGCAAAACGAAAACGATTAACCAACAATGGTTCGAATACAAAAAGATAGAGAAGAACATTGGGATTACAAAGAGTTCTTGTGCCGGCCTATTGTTGATCGAGGGAAGAGAAGAATAAAGTCAAGTCTTGCGGCAGCAACGCCTGCGCCTTTCTCTCGCCCATTGTTATTATTTTGACAAGCGAAAAAAGGTACGGAAAGTCGCAGTCGTAGTGCATGCTAATTGGAAATTCAGAGACCGACTGACCTATACCTATACCCTGGGCGTGGCGGATCTTTAGGAAACCTATAATTAAGTAGCCGCAGCACTCTACATTTCGCCAGAAATTGCAGCGTAATGTGCGCACATTTCTGCGGTCGCGTGGCACTCTTGACAACCGCCGATCGATCAGACATCAGAAGATCAGCGTCAGGATCAAACGTCATAGTCCTTTGTCCATACGCCGCCCGCGCACTACTAAAGTAGCCCTTCGTCCAGTGTCCATCTGTGTGTAATGCCAGTCCTTCGTTGCTTGTGGCATCATTTATTCATTTTAGTTATGGCCGGCGCTCAATTCTTTTCAGTGTTTTGCGATTGTTTTGGCCTTTTTCTTTAGAAGTGCGGGCGAGCGTTTGAATTGATTTTGTGTGGAGTTAATTAACTTTTCGTTGCGGCTACTTGAAAGTGGGCTTCTTGGGTGAAGCTGTCAAAAGTAGAGCAGCAAAACGATGACCAGGCCCTGGATGGACTCTTTTCAAAGGCGCAGGCGTCTGCAATGCCAAAGAATTGCGTGTTCTGGCAACATATTAAAGAAAAGTATATTCCTTTCAATCATTTTTCTGAGTTGTTCAGAGTTTTAAAAATCAGCTGCAGTCTACCGATTTACAAAAATTATTAAAAATATATTTTGCATATCATATTTTATGTATATTTTTCAAATCCAAACAATTTATAAATCGAAATCTAACTGAATAAATAAATAAAATGATATTCATTAGCGACAATTACTTTCAGAGAAAGATTTGCATTACTTTTGAAAGGCCAACTCATAGAAACAGAGGGGTTTTAACGAGTTTTTATTTTACATACTATTTGACGTACAAATTAGTGATCTATATGTTGATCTAGATTATAACAAATCAAATAAAGCGTCAGACATACAAACAAATTTGCAAACAAATAGCTAAGAAGAAGAAGCATTGTCTACAGTGTTTAAAATTATTATCTAAAATGCAATTTTTTAGCGAAAATTTGTAAATTAAATCATGTTTGGTTTCAATTTAATACATATTTAAATTATTAATAGTTATACCTTGAACCCAAAGGGTAAAAGGCTATACTAGTTTTATATTTTTGAAGGTTATATTGATGTTTTCGCTGTAAAATAAATTGTTAAGTATATTAAGAAGAGAAAAGTAATAATTTATAAAGAAATTTTATATTTCTTATTTTTATATTTATGTTGAAATATTGATTCCGCAACAAAATAAAAAAAGACATACAAATCATTAAAGCTTTAATAATTAAAATGTATATTCATTGATTGAATTTAATTTTTAATTTTGGAGTCTTCGAAAATTAGGAGGCCTTTTAAATGATATTTTAAGATTGAATTCAACTTTATACTTAATAGTGAAAGCTTTTTGGGCTGCACAGCAAATCTCTATATGGTTCTGTGCTTTAGCAATAATTAGTTCGATAGCTTGACATTGTTGAGTGCAAGATAGTTCAGAATTAGTATATAAGTATATGGTATTATGTTTTCAATTTTGGAATTCACAAACTTCAACTGTGCCTCCTTTTATTTTTATTTGCATTGCCGAAAATTGGTGAGAAATATTTCGCTGACCCAGTAATACACGAAACCACTGGCAGAAAATCGAAAGTACTAAACCACACACACAGTTTTTGTGCTTTCTTGATAAAAAGGATCTCCGCTTTCTTTCTTTCTTTCTTGTTTTCCTGCCTGCCACTAGACCACAGACATGCAACGATCGGCTGGCAGCAATTTGGTAAAAATGCAGCCCACAATGCGGTTGTCGGAAATTAAAACTGATAATAAAAGCACATATCATCGATACAATACAATATTATACCTCAGATAGCTTTGGTATTGTTCCCACAACATGCCCCGAGGCAGAAATTGTCTTTTGTGCGATCAAAGCGGCTGTGGCGGCCATTGGAGTTGAAGTTGCAACTGCAACTGTTGACCTTGGCAACAATTGTTTGACATATAAAATGAAGCGTGTGTGTTTATTTTTTCTGAAGTTCAGATGAAAGCCAATTTGAATAAAAGAACAGAAGCGACAGCAAAAACATGCGGCAGATCGTACCGAGCCTTCTGAAGTGGCAATTAAACCTTTTGACCGCAAGCCAATTTAGTGCACAACAAAAACAGGCAATGCATGTGGCAGGTACACTTACCTGCCAGCACAGAACTCAGAGTCTCAGCGAATCAGGTAGCAGCGCACTCGCAGCCAATCAGCCAATCAACAGCCGCCTCTCTGGCATATAAAAGCCGACGCAATGCCACATGCAACATCAGTTATCCTTGTGGCACAGACAGCAACGGGCAGCCCAAAAAAAAAAATGTTGACCAACAACGAGCTCATCGAGCATTTCTATTACAACAATGCGAGCAGTGCTGGCGATGAGGTGCAGAGTTGTGGCAACGACTATCGCCAGTTGGAGGACTTCATGCAATATCAGCTGGATTATAGCGGCAGTGGCGATAGTCTATCCGATGGCACCAATAGCTGCTCCCTGGAGCTCTATTACGAAACGCCAGCGGTTCTGGAACTCGAGCATATGCTCAGTGTACAGCAGCAGCAACAACAACAACACCACCAGCAGCAACAACAACAGCAACAGCCATTGCTCAGCAGCAGCTCGTCGGTGAAGTCCTCCGCCAAGTACTGGCAAAGGCAGCAGCAGCAGCAGCAGCGCAGTAAGCCCTATGGCATGGTATCGTCCTCGTTCTGCTCCTCGTCCTCCTCAACCTGTCGCGAAGCTGACGAGGATGAACTGGGCCTAAGCTCGGAGGTTCTGCGCAAGCGACGTCTGGCAGCCAATGCGCGGGAACGTCGCCGCATGAACAGCCTAAACGATGCCTTCGACAAGCTCCGCGATGTGGTCCCTTCCTTGGGTCACGATCGGCGACTCTCCAAATACGAGACTTTGCAAATGGCGCAGGCGTACATCGGCGATTTGGTCACACTATTATCCCGGAACTATTGAACAGAAATCGGAGGGGGAAGGTGCAGCATCGGGGCGATCTGCGTGGCGAGGAGAATTGTGCTTAGCATTGTTGCAACTTTGAAACCTAGTGTTAACTTAAAAAGGCTGTTAGTTTTAAGTGGATGGGCAGTTATTTTGTAAGTCTCTATTTATAGGAGAGCCATGGCTAATAAAATTAAATATCTAGTACTAAAGCAAACGATATAAACTTTAATATCATGTAGCTTAAGCTTCGAATAAACGAAGATAACAAAAAACAAGGAATTTATTGCAAAATCAGCGGACAGTTCTTAGGCGGACACTTCAGAGACGGGCTTGACAAATAAAAAGCAACAGTGACAAATTTCCGAACCTGAAGGCGATCAGCATTATGTCGAGTCTTTATAATCCCCTTATACATACCCCATCTTTCTGAACGTTAAAAATATCTGACCCAACTCAACTTACCTTTGCAGAAGTGTAAATGCATACGTATTATCACTATTTCCTTTCCAATATTTAGTATGAATATTGAAAAGAAGAACGGGTTTTATTTATAAGCATTTTTGAAATATTTGGGTATCGACTTTTTGTGAATGAAAATTAGAAATGGTATTTTATTTGAAGCTATTTCCTAAATGTGATTGATTGAAGTAAAAATGCAGTATAGAATGCAAACCAAATAACTGGAAAAGCTATGTTCGGGTGCCTCTATTGTGGAATACACCTATTTCTGTTTTTACACGGTTTTGATTTAACACGGTTTGAAAATTAAAAATGTTATATATGGTTACACGACTTTATTCCATTTAGCACTATTCATTTTCCATATGATCAATGTCTTTTTTTACACGACTTGTTTAGGAACCAATCTACCGTGTAAAAACAGAATTAGGTGTACTCTGAGGGGGCAACAACAACAACACCTGTGTGGAAAAGTTTTGTGTCTCTAGATCTTATCGTTTCTGAGATTCAGGTGCCTATTGACAGACAGTGCTAAATCGACTCGTGTTGCCATGCTGATCAAGAATATATTGTTTTTGCCTCATACATTTTTTGCTTTGCACAGTTTTAGATTAGATCAAGAGTGTTGCTATGTCAGTTCTATAATATTGGCCCCAACGACAGTACCAATATACTCTAGGCTAGCAATTATATTCCTTTTCTTATACTATATTCTGCAGGCCTACTACAGAGATCCAAAATTCATAAACTCTACTAATTTTTGCCCAACTTTCTCTAAGTTATTTTAAAAATCCGTTAATTCAACATTACTTAGGCATTACAATCAATCTTTTTGTGGCATTAGCCACAGTTTTACATACCCCTCCTCCAGCTCCGCAGCCTTTTCCTTTTTGGATATCAAACTGCATCCTTGAAATCCTTCAGCGTTATTATTAACTAGTGTCCGCAACGCCCCGCACATCAAAATAAAGGTCACAACAAGCAATGCCGACAGCGGCGACTACGATTGATGAGTTCCGACTTCCGACCTAAACAGACATGATTAAGGACATCCAGTTTCGAGCCGAGCGCACACGTCAACAGGTAAGTACTGAGTGCTCGCCTCAGGACCTCAAACATGTGGAGTACGAGAAAATTGATTTAAACATAGTCATTTGTAAATGTTGTGAGGGTTTTGGGAAATGCTGAGAAAGTCGTAGGTGGCATGAAAATAAAAAATTAACCAATACAGTTTACATTTCAAATATCACATTGATTTTTGTTGTATTTATAGAACTAAATACTCGTAACATTAAAATTCCTCATATATACAATGGTTTTCTAAGGCTAAGGCTTATTCTATAAGGTTTTCTTACTCAACTTATGATTAAAGAAGTTTTTATGCTCTTCACAAGCGTCTCTTTAAGAGATGGATTGAGATCTAATGGGTTGGATAAGGTTTTTGCTCTGGCAGAGAAATTTTATATTTTTGGAACCAAGGCAATGAGATCGATTTAAAAAATGAATCAGCCTTCTCAATAAGAATCATAATGACAACCGTTTCAATTTAGATTCTGGTGCCAACTTCATAAAGTTAAATATGGGATGAACTAGTAAAATGAATAAATTAGTTGTATTTATTTGAACGATAATTCGCAATAGTCTTAAAGCCCTCTCCGGACCCTAAAAGTTCCGAAATTTAAACAAACCTATGTAGAAAGTATAACTTGCATTGGTTGTAAAGCCCTCTGCGAAACCTAAAAAATATACAGAAAGAGTATTAAGCCCTCTGAGAACGCTAGCAGTTCGGAAATTTAAACAAATGTATATAGAAAATAGAGCCATGAAGCTAAATTCACTTAAAAGATCACTCTTATGGACTCTACAAAACACGTTTGCAAAGAATTTTAATTTCGTATTTGAAGATGTACGATTCGACCCACTCGAATGTCCATTCTGTACACTGTAGGAAGAAATGTTGCCAAAGAAACTTTTATTGGGTTGCACCGAATTGTTTTAACGAGAGAATTTGTCTGCCAAACAGTTGAGTAATTGTAATATATTTATATAAAAGATTACACGCTTAGTGAAGGGCATAAAACTTTGGCCTTATCAAAGCTTACATTTAGGTTCGGGTCTACAGATCGCTATTTCACATAACACTTAACTTACAGTGCTTCACAGTTAAGGTTTCCATATGAGAAAAATTTAATTAATTTGTCTATATACAAAATGATTTAAATATAGCTTTTTGTTTCTTAAAACTAATTCTAAACTAAGGGCTATGGCGTATAAATTATGTGAATTAAACTAAGGCAATTTCTAATGTACTTAGATTAAAAGAAAGTTGTGGTAAAAAGTCTTTTGCAGGTTTGATGTTATCTTGTTTTCGAATTAAACTAAAAAGTTGAGGCATTAACTTAGTGAGGCTATGTCAGCAAATTGGACCTAAAGTTGCTAAGAAATTATCATTTACTTTTGTTTGAATATTTTTATAGAATTTTTGGAATCTATAATCGTTGATCTAAGCAGTTCTCATGTAAATATTTGGCCAGCTCGCTGCTGCCAGAAAAAACATGCAGCTCATGGAAAATATTTATTAAAAATTGTAAACGCATTTGCTTTAGGATTGCTCAATTAATTATAAACGTGGATATATATATATACTATATATATTTATATTGTATTTAGTTTTAGTTCTTTTATAAACAAATATATATGTAATCATAGGTTTATTATTACAGTTCTCTTTGTGCTTAACACAAACGTGTGTATACAATTTAAAAATATTTATATTCGGGCATATACATTATTGCAAGCGAAATTACTGACGTTATATTGCTGAGAATAGAACTCTGACCCATTAGAAATAAACGTTAATAGGATGGAAAATATGAGAGATATAATATAAGATAAATGACTTGAAAGTATTTTGCCTCTGAAATATCAAAAGAGCCCGAATGGGATATTTAATTCTTTTATTTTGAACCCATTGCTCAGATCCACGCAGTACGAACAAGGAATTTCGATCTTAATATTAATTTGATGTTTCATTTTAGCAAATCACAGAGCGCTTTATAAACTGACATTTTCTCACTCCCAGTTATAATGGCTGTCCTTTGCTAAAATGCATATAAGAAACAACTTAGTCAACCGAATAATTTGCAATATATCGTCAATCGTCGTACTTCAACTACAACGCAAATGATTTATTGATTATACATACATAGCTTCAAATTGTTAACGCACTCAACCTTTTTTGTATATTTATGTATATATTTTAAGATTAATTTTTAAACTAAACTGGTCTGTACATGCGTCGTCGTTAAATGAAAACTAGCAGCTGAGATAATCGCAATTATTTCGCAATTGCTAAGTATAAACTCAAAACCTTTCCTTAATTTCTGTTGCGTTAGGTCTGTGTGTTTGCTCATGTTTCTATATTTGCATAATTAATAATTACATCCAAGCATTACCGCGCATACGTCCGCGTCCACCACGTCCGCGGTTGAAGAACGGACGTGGCGCCCCATCAAAATTGCCGCCACCATTGCCAGGCATGCGCTGAAAGTTGGGACGATATGGTCCAGACCAGCCACGGCCACGCCCACGACCGCGCATGGGCATATTCATATTACCATCAGGGCCAGTGCCGGGAGGTCCTGGGAATTGCGGGAACCCAAACGGTGGTCCAAATGGTGGCCTGGGTGGTGGTGGGGCCGGCCCATTGCTGCCGTCATTCCCATTCCAAGGCATGAGTGGTGGCATTTGCATTTGATTCCAGGCCTGTGGCGATTGTTGTTGTTGTTGCTGCTGCTGCTGCTGCATTTCGGTCATTTCTGCAATATTTCCAAAGCTATTGTTCTCATCCCACACACTCGAACCAAGAAACTCTGGCGGCGTTGCAAGCAACGCGGGACGCGCAGCACCATTGGCGTCAACTTCGCCACCAAGTGCCTCCGATTGATCCAGTTCTTCTTGACTGGAGTTGGCTTCTAATAAAGATAGATTATATTATTGAACATTGTACATAACAGGAAGTGTTCTTTTATTTATAGCTTAAGTGCGTTGCAAGCTCCTCTTCATACCTCGCAGCGACTCATCCATATCCTCATCTGACATGTCCATGTCAACGACCATGTCTGCGGGATCATAGCGCGTTGAACCATCCACGCGATCGGATTCAGAAGAAGAGCCTGCAAAAAAAATTAAATATGTGAGTTGGTTGGTTGTTTATACAACGCAGAGTTTGAAACCTTGAAAGAGCATATTCTATTATAACTATCAAACAATATTCGAATTTATATTTAATTTGTAATATTTTCCAAATTTAGACAAAATATACCTCTTTCCATATAAGGTTTCGACTTACTGGCATTGCTTTTATGCGGCGAGCTTCCCTTTTTGGCATAGTTACTTGGCGGTGCCATGAGCTGTGCAGAAAGATGTTAATTACTTTTCTTGCTTGTTTTTATTATGCCTACGAACTTACATTTGAAGGCGAATTGTTTGACAAACTGGGAATAGCGCTGATTTCCTCAATTTTTCCTGGTACAACACGATAATCAACATCACCGAACTCCTGCCAAAGGAATAGTTTGTAAATGTTTTCAAAGATTTTATAAAGTTGCTTACCTTTTCGCCACCACCCGGCGATCCAGTCAACGATATTAGATTCCGACTCACCGGAACCTTGGTATTGAATGAGAACGCCGGCGGCAGTTGGAGCGTGCGATGATCAACATCCTCCGCGCCCAACACGGAGCTATTATGGTGCTCGCTGTACTCAATGGGTGCGTTGCTGCCACTGTGCGCCTTACGCTCAAAATGAGGCGGCGAGTGTGGCGTCGATTGCCCCGTATATGAGGCGTTGCTGCTATTGAGACTGTCCAGCGGCGTCCAGGTCATGTTTAAGTCCCAGGTGTTATTGAAATCATCTCCGCCGACTGCTGTGGGCGCAATGCTTGGCGGCAGTGGCGGGGGTACTGGCATGCTGCTGGGGTTCAAGGGTGCGGGCGTGTATGAATGCTCTTGACTGCCATAGTCCGACAATGGTGGCGCATATTCAGCAGCACCTCTACCTCCGCTGCTGTCGCCAAAAATACCAGGCAAAGGCGGTGAGATTGCACTCCCAAAAGCTTGTGCTGAGCTGCCGCCCAAGCCCGGAATGCTTAGCGGCTCTGGTTTATAAAAATTAGCTGAGGGCGTGTAGCTCTCATCATCTGAACGAGAACCAATCACCTCAATGGGTTGACTGGAGCCGTTCCCAAGCTTGCTTTCGCGTTTGAAATCATTAATGTCAAAAGGCAGCTGTCCGCCATCCAAATAGCCGGAGAAGCCATTGATATTAGTATTGAAAATGTTCTGTGAATATAAAGACAGCGATTAAAGAAATGGACGCACATAATGAATAATAAGTTGAATATTACAATTGATAATGGTGCGCTATTGTCATCAGGCAACTGCAAATCTGCATCACGCTCCGGCGAGGGCGCATTTATGTCAGGCGAGGGAATGGGACTCGAAAGAGTTGGTATGATCTCATCCAGTTTGCGTTTGACAAGCTTTATGCGATTGCCGAAACTCTTATAGGCCTGAAATAAGAAGGCAATTGAATTGTAGAAAATGTCCATATTATCTTTTCTTATTTTGTTTTAACGATACTTACACTTGCCACCACTTTCACCTCGCCACGCTGATGTTCGTAGAACTTCTTGGCCAAATCTATATTCTCCAGCACTGTTTTGCGGGTTTTGATCTCATTTTGTAGATTTTTATTGTAGGCGGTTATGAAGGCCACATAACGCTCCAACTCCTTTTCAATGTCACCCGAATGACTTTTATCCTTTAGTTGCTGTTTGATGGCCTCAATTTCAAATGTGGGCGGCTTTGGTAATTTCTTGAAGCTCTTATCCGTGGCTTCCGATAACTCGACGCACTCACGCACATTGGCAATGAGGACGACACTCTGAAACTCATCGGTTTGATCCGCACTGGCATGCGATTTTTTGGGCGGCGCTATATTCAGCAATCCGCTCAAATCACTCAGAAATTCTTCATTATAGATTTCACGCTGTTCCCAGATCTTAAAGATGCGCAATATTTTGCTTTTAACGCGCTCATCGCTGCAAACAAGTGTGAGTGTAAGAATGGATTGTTAAATGGAAATGGAATGTATGGAAGGCTCTACTTACCGCACCATTGTGGTGGCGCGTTGGAGGGCCGTGGCCCAGCACTCGACAAATTCGTAGCGTTTGCGCTTGCTATATTGTATGACATCGTTGGCTAGATAGAACAGCACCAAACGATGGTCCACACGCACTGCGGGATAGGCACATAAGTGGGAGTAAGTGGTGACTCATTTGCCGGCTGGCCAGCTTGCTTACCTCGCTTGAAGACATTCAGCCAGCACTGTATGATCTTTTTGTGATTAGGCCGGTGCTGTAGGCACCATGTGGACATTTGCTGGATGCCCTCCTGTGTGTCCTTGAGGGCTTCCAGGCGCGTCTCGAACAGCTCCTCATCGAAGGGTTCGGCTGCCAATGCCTTGGCCATTATGGTCGCTACTTGAGTTGGACAAGCGGGGGTCGACTAACGCGCTTAATACATTACAACGGCCGACTTTCAGATATGACAGAGTCGATTAAAAACTTTAAAACGCTACCTTTTGTTTTCACTCGTAGCGCTATTTACTTTGTTTTTTTTACGCCCAATTTCTTACGGCAGCCTGCGGCTTGTGTATGCTATTCTGAATTTTCTTTTGCTCAGCCGAACACGCGCACTTTTTTCACGACTCTCTTTCACACTTCACCTGAGCACTATAGCTATCTTCATGTTATTTAAACACTGGTGTATGCCTCACTTTAACTCGCGCTTATGTTTTCATCAACCAATTTTTTAAAATTAATTGGATATTTACGTTAAAATACTGTGCTGTTTTGGGATGGCTTAAAAACACATAAAATTCTACTGGGCTGCCAACTCGTACTTGCAAAAATCGGAACTATGTCTGGCAGCACTTTTGGAGTTGCATGGTAGCAGTGGCAGTATAAGTAATAGATGGTGATACATAAGCTATACATAAGCGAGGAATACTTCAACGTTTTATTTACAGACCGCAAGAGTTATTTTGAATTTTATGGGCAATGGCAGCGCGCGCCTTAATCTGCATACATATATTGTCAGTGTTGGTAAACACGCGCATAGTTTGATTCATTTGCCAAACTGAACCATGTACAACGAACTAGTTTTTATTACCAAACAATATTAGTTTTTAAAACCAAGTTTGATCAATGTGGCCTAAGCCGTTTCCGACATAGCTGCATCGATTTCCCTTGCCATACTTCGCACAAGCCTAATACAGTGAAAACTTTCTTAATGGGCGCCTCTGTTATCCACAACCCCCTTGGGCGGACAGTTTTTCTAGAATATTCGTGCAGTGTATTAAGTGCTTAGGTATCCTCTTAAGCGGACAAATATCGGTTGGCGGTGAAATGAATTTTAAATGAACCCTTTGAATCCATGGTTGACTGACTTGCGCGCGCAATTGAACTAGTTCTATTCGGCTAATATCGTCAATTGATATGGAAAATATCGATAGCTGCGTGCTGTTAATACTATCGCTGGCGCCATCGCTGCTATCATACCTTTAGTCCTTCGGCGTCACTCGGTCGCGGTTCATTTGCGGCTGCACATTGCATTCGGTGTGTTGTAGGCGGGTACTTATCAACTGTTAACGTAATATAAGCGACAAATTTGAACAGAGTGATAAGAAATACGCACGATAACGTAGTAGTTTGTGTACACATATACATATGTATGTATTTGCGCTTTCTCCCGCTAAGTTTTTGTTGGCATTGGCGTTCCATGTGGCGACACTTGTTGTTGTTTTTGCTCTTCCCACGTGCGTGTGTTTGTCTGTGTGCGTGTATGTTGTTTGCCGGCATATGGCCTGTTGTTGTTGTTGCTCTTTTATTTCGCACAGGCTATAAAAAGGACGATTACTATTTGCGCAAATTTGGTTTCAACTACTGGGCCCAATGCGCAAACGATTAAAGCATTTGTCTGAAGGAAAATTTAATTATTTTTTTATTTCGCAATCGCCCGAAAATAGAAAAAATAATTATAAGTGCGCATTAACAATGAAATCCAAGGCGCACATTCGTCGACAATTTTCCTTCTCCTGCTACCACTTCGCTGCCACTTGCTCTGCCGTTTGGCAGGAACGGCAAGTGATTATAAAATGGCAAAATAATTTTCCATTGTCCAGTTCCTCTCTAACTGTGAAATGTTGTACATTTGCTGCCGCCTTTGTCGCTCATTAAGACTCTGTAATTATTCTGATTGCTTGAAGCAGACAACAGCAACAAAAACAACAACAACAACGAACATAACCCCGGCAGGGGAACCACAAAAACAACAATTATAAAAGCAAACGACAGGCTGCGCCACTGACCCAGTGCCAAGAAACGCGACTGCCGTGATGGCATCAAGGGAAAAGCGCCTTAGCAATAATTACGCTCCAATTGCCGCCCTTCGCGCTCGCAGATTCGCTTGATTGTCTTATCGCATTTAAAAATAGGACACACTGAGAGAACCAAAAGCCAGGACGTGACAGTTTTGAAAACGAATTACCTTACTATTTTGGAACACTATCCAGAACATTGTTGAACTCCTTTTGGGTAAGCAATTAATTGTTTACATGAATTCTATTAACATTATTGTTCTTATGACTGATTTCTGTTCACATTTTTATTATGTTGATTATTGTTATACCCTACTTTAAGACTAGAAATGTAAATGCAATAACATAAATTTAAACAAAACTGTTGTTGTTAACACAGTAACACCAAAACATTTTCGTTAGCTATATCTTATAATTGAATGTAATAAAATTTGATTTGGCTGTAAAAAAATTGGAAGAAGCCGCACTTCTTACACCAAATATACATATGTATGTAAGAGTAAGCATTTCATTTGAATTCCCTATATAAGTCTCTTTTCCGACGAAATTATTTAGCACTTATTTTAAAACCAACCCAATTGCGCTCAATTTTGTCATTCTAACGTATAAATTAATTAATGTGTTCAATTCTACAAAGCTCTAAACACATACAGTATTCGTATAAAAACTGTAATCTATTCATCTTCTTGCATCATCTCCTCTATCTGTAGAATAAGAAAATTCTCTAAGATTGCGACAAATCTGTTAATATTTCTTTAAGTGAACCAAGAATATTCAATTTCATTTCCCAGTTGGCATCACCTTTACTTATTAATATGCGAGGCTAACTTGAAATTAATTATTACAGCTGCCAATCGTTTTTATTTACGTTTAGAAAAACTTCCTCTGTTGGCCACGTCCTGAACGCCTATATACAGTCACGCCCACAATCATACCAACTAAAAACAATAAACACTAATTACGAACTTCCAACGCCAACGTCACTGTCAGGAGTCCACGCATCGCCATCGCATCACGTCAGTGAAGCTTCCTTCCTGTAACCTGATTTGTGCCTTGTGGCCCTTTAACGTGCCGCGCACATTTGTCAATTAGTTGTCCATTTGCAGACACACCTGCGCATCTTGCCATCTTCCCACTGACCTCGCCTCCCACGCCAACATCGCCTAACTGCGTCGTAATTTCTAACAGCCTTGGCAGAGTTCCTGGAAAGTTTCGCATTGCAATTTGAGCGGCTTTTTTTGTACACTCATCGTCCTTCATTATGTCAGTGTATAACCATTTTTATAATTCGCTGAAGAGAAAAAATTGATCAAATCAATTGATTATTTATTATAGTATTCACTTATTTGCGCAGAAGAAGAAGCTGCAATGATTCCTGTGGAATGGGGTCGCTTATAGTGCGCGTAACTTTGTTGCAAGCAAACAAGATCTAATTAAAAAGAAGTGTAAAGGATATTAAAACAAATGCTTATGCCATCTCAGTCTCTAAAGCCTGCGAAATTCATGTATGATGATAGCGATTAATTTACTTTTTTTTCACCTATTAAGCTCTCCACAAAGTTCCTTGCTGCTGGATTTACGGCAGATAATACTTCAGTTCTTGCCTTGCAGTTGCTAATCAATCTGAATAGATTGATGCTGCTTATTTTTGAAATGAATCTTTAATGATGCTGTTACAGAACAGGTGACTCAACTACTTTTCAACTCGAATATCCAATTCCTATAATATCTATAGAAACGAATTATCAATTCGGAATTTATAGTTTCAACATTAACTCCCCCAAAATGTAAAGTTTCGAATTAATTTCAAAAGTATTTATACTATAACACATCTCGTTCTCTTTAAAAATATTTAAACAAATCCATTAAATGATTGATTGGTAGATGTCTTACAGAAAACAACAATTGTTCCCATTTTATTTCATTGAATTGTGTAAAGCATATTATATCGATGTCCTATGAGTACATCAATTCCTCGAAGGCTGTTGTATTTTCTGTGTTTTATCTTATTTGCCTTTTTTTTTTTGAGGGTCAGGTTGATGCCCAATTCGTTACACATACGCACTGTATGCAGAAGCTCTCAATGCCTTTCGCTGCTGCAGGCTACTTTTTGATTTACCTGCCAATCAATTGTTGGCCAGCACCAGCACCAGAGCCACAGCCAACTGGCAGCAATTTGTGTCGCTTTGTGTGGAAGTGTGCAAATAAGTGTAGCATACTTTGCAGCGCGTGCATGCGATAACAAAGCGGAAATGTGCAAAGCACGTGTGTATCTGTATCTGTGAGTGTGTATGTGTGTGAGTTGAATGCAAATACGCTTATAAAGTGTAGCATTGTGTGTGGCCAGGAAATATGCATAAAATGATAGAGTGGTGAGTAAACAGAAAGTATTGGACCTTAAAGAGGGTAACCAAAGCGGATGCTCATCGTGTCAGTTTGCTGTCCCCGTACTAACTTGTTGCAAAGCCGAGGGCGCAAATGTTAAGCATTAAAGTTTTAAGTTCGCATAATGGAAATTGGCGTGGGTTGCCAGCGGCAAATTGAATTGGAAACCATAAGGATTATATGAAGCTGCCCACGTTAGTCAGCCCACATTTTCCATTATGAAAATAGCATTTTAAAAAAGGCCATCTCAGTTGGATTGGAATATAAATAGAAAGAAATGCGATAGGTGATCAAGCGAGGAAAATTTCATATGCTGCCAGACATAGTATATTGGTATATCCAAGCTAGATATAAGTCGTTTAAAAGATTGAATTAGCCAATAAATAGACGTAGTTTGGACTAACAACCATACTAGATGAGTCAATGAGTTGTCTAAGGGTTTTAATTATTATAAATCGTATTTCCGGTTCCACAAGCGCTCGATTAGTATTTGTGTTGTATAATCGCAATCCTCAGAAAGGACTAAATACTCTACTAAGGAAAATGTGGTGCACTTTTTTCTGGTGTATCCACATAGTTCAACATTTGGAGCAGTTGTTTCTCTCTCGCCAGCTTGGCAGCTTGGAAGCCTGATGCGTCAATGGGTTAGTCGTATCCTTGGCCGCTTACTTTTTACTTTCCATTTTCATTTTTTAGATTTGGGAATAAATGCATAGAATATATATAAATACTTCTGTTAATTTTGTGGCAGATATGAGGGTGCAGGAATATAAAGCCGTAAAAATTTGATTGATTTGAGGCGATCGAAGGTAGTGTCTTCAGTTCATGGCTATCCTCACACAAAATGTTTAGTTGTTGCAGAAGTAGGGTTAGGCCTATTCCTAGCCTATCTAAGAAGACTTACTCTGCATATGAAGAATCTTAGCACACTTGCAAACTTTTTGTAAATTCTAAATACGAAATAGACCTACTCATATAACTCCTCGTAATTATTTCGCCCTTCTGTTAAAAATGTCAAGAATTTCAGTTAAAATATACTAATAATATTACAATATTTTGTAAGTCATTGAATTATGAG